GGAAAAGGCCGGTCGGCGGGAGGACGGGAAGGAGGGGAAGTGTATTAGGGTTAGGTTATATATATAAAAATTTATTTTTTTAAAAAAGATAATAATTGGGTGTGATATCTTTTTTGTTTCCAAAATTATCGTTAATTTAATCTCTACCATCAATTTAAAAATAAGGTGAAACAGAAGTAATAAAAGGTGTAAATTTTGGTAGCCACCGTGGTTACTAAAAAATGAGTAACCACCCTAATCCATCCCCGATAGCTTAGGGTACAAAATTTTCTTGTTTGTAGTACTACAAAATTATAGTGGATGGTAAAGATTGGAGAAGATGTGATCTAATGGGCTCTTTGTAGAGAAGTTAAGACGGAAAGTGGGATTGGGGAGACAACTGACCAGACTTCTTAGGCGGCTGGCCGGATATTTTGGAGTTGATTGAATTTCGAAAATTCTACCTCTTTCATGAACTAGTTCTAATTTTTAAATGAAAACCCACATTAAATCGTTTGTGTTCTTATGTTTATGTTTTACCTAGGGGCGACCCATTCATATTTTAGGGTTGTTGACAAACCTAACTATAATTTTGGAACCAAGTTACTCTATGAAAATTATATTTGAATTGGTTACGTTGTTTTTGAACCCTAAACCATTTGACGATCCTTACAATTTTGAACCGAATGGTTTAGGTAAGCTACCACCAAATCTACATAATAAATAATTGCCAAATGAGAAAACTTGAAGTCCCATTTCAAATTTCCTACATCCAGAGTGAAAGTAGGAAGGACATTTTGGTCTTCCCAATTACTTTTTTTTATCCATTAAAAAGACACTTACTAGGATTCGAACCATGACCACTTTAAAGAAAAACAAAGATCATAAACAATCACATTAAGTACATTTATTGTATCTTTTTTAAATTAAAAACATATATATAATCGCAGAGAGGAAAAAAACCTTCCCGCATTTCAAATTCCCTGCTCCATGAGCGTTTGTAGAAAGGGTAGAATAGGGGGTGTCAATTTTTTTTCTTTTTCCTCTGTGGAACGGGCCAACTTACCGTACACATGCGGATTTAAACGGGTCCAGAAGTGTCAATTTTTTTCTTTAAGTCCTTTTATTTCTCCGTGGTGGTAAAATATATATGAAAAGGAAAAAAACAATACTTCTTTTTATTGCTAAAAAGAAAAAAAATAACAATAAACTAATTCATGGATTCTAATGGGCTAACCGTTAATCATAAAATTAAAGAGTTGAATGGGTCTTACTTACACGGGATTTGCCCATCAAGTAAAACAAATGAACATCATGGGTTTGCCATTCTAAAACAACCTATTTTCTCTAGCATGATATATTATGCTATTATTTTATATCTTAGTGGCTAAAATATAATGTATTTTAAAGTTATTCAATGGTTCAACCTCGACCAACCCAATTAGTCCAATTTTTATCATTTCAAATATATATTATGTAATTATTTGATATCATAATGATCAATGTTCAAGAAGAGGCTAGGCGCTATCTAGGCGAGGAGGCACCGCCCAACGCCCAGGCCGATTAATTGTTGCCTAGGCGAGATTAAACGTTGCAAAAAAATACGATAGATAAGTCATATTCCACAAAAACCCAAGTTGCCATATCATTATTCATCCATTCATATTCACATACAACCCTTTTCCACAATCTCAAACATCCCAAGTCGCCAACAATGAGGAGGGATCTCACTGTTGGTCGATGAGGGGGAGCAGCTGATCGAATGGAAATGGAAAATAGAATAGGGTTTGGGATTTTTTTAAAAAAAAGGCTACACTTTCCCCCTTTATTTGTTGTTATTGGCGTCGCCCACCAGATTGAAAACGCGCCGCCGAGTGCCTAGGTGCCTAGATCAATCGCCCATGGCTAGACGGGGCGATTTCGTCCTGCCCTGCTATTAATCGCGCCTAGGCGAGAGATTAATCGCGTCTTCTTGAGCACTGATAATGATTAAATTATATTGTATATTATAGGGAACATTTGGTATTTGTTAGTAAAAAAACTAAACAGAAATATCTATTTGGTTATTTTTAACATTAAAACGATCCTAAATGTTTTCAGTTTCCTTTCGAAATTCTATAGTTATACTCCCGAATCAGTGATGTGCAAATGGCGAATTGCATTCATCTTTTTTCTTTCATTATTTTTTATTTTCAAATAGAAAGTTTAAAAGTAAAGAATAATTAGAGTTTGGCATGGGTCGGTCAAACAGACTGAATTTCAAGTTTTGGCCCGTTTTGATCAAGTCTAATTTATGATCACATGGTTCCCTGATACCCGATAAAAATCTCAAGCCAAACCAGTTTGGCAGGTGAGTCGGTGTTTACCACCATTTCTAGGGATACAGGAACGGTGGTTCCTATCCCAAATCGTGTTGTTCATTCTTGATTCTTTAGATTTTATCATGGCTTGGCAAAAAACCAAAAAGCACAATGATGACAAAATGAAAGTTTTATAAAGCAAATTAATCGGCCAACGGGCCGAGTAAAAGCTAGCAACGATTGTGAGATGCTCATTTCCCGAAAACCGGCGGGATATGCGATTTTTTATTCGATTTTTTGGAATTCGGTTTCTATAGAACTTACTCCACCACATCGTATTACCAGAAACAATATTGTTTCACAAGGTAACAGGTACTTGATTTTGGTTCATAAGACTGATTTTTGATTCGTTGCATCATTCATGTCTCTTTCCTACTAAAATTCACTATTTTTATCACGTGTTTCCCAGAAAAAAAAACTATACAACAATAAGCTATACACCCCATTACATTATCAAATTTCATACCTCACCTTCTTCCGGTCAAATGGTCGGGGCCACGCTAGTTGTTGTTATAAGAACACAAAGCAAATGTATTTATTACTGTTTCATTTCTAGAACTAAATTAATTCCTAAACCTATTAAGGGTATGTCCGTATGCATGATGCCTTCAAAGGATTGTAAAGAATCAATAACCTAGCTAGGTCAATGGTAGAGACAAGAAAAGATAATAATTATCTTTGAAAACCCTTAACAAAATTTCTCACTGATTTTACTTATTTGTTTATTTCACGTTACCACTTCCTGCTAGTTTAATATGCGATTTAATATATATATATATATGGTGGCTTCTATCGTACCCCGGTTAAAATTCGGGGTATGGCGTACCTTGGGTGATCTTGACCGTACGTGTGATCTCGACGGCTGAGATTAAATTTTATTAAATGATATATTTTTCGGAATTTATATTAAATAAAATTACAGGAAGACTCATAGAATTAGTTTTTCTTTCATTTTAGTCCATTGTAAACGAAATCGGATTGGTTCTGTTTAGTTATTGAATTGACCCAAAATCCAATCACCCTAAGAGAAAGGACACCTACCTTGCCCCACCCGCAACCCTACCCCTCTCCTCCAAATCCCGACCTTGGACCTTCTCTCTTCTCCATTTTTCTGTTCGAATTGGGAATAACCCTGTTCTTCCTCCCTACTCCTGTAAATCATCCCAGCCGTCTCAGAAAATGGCAGCGATAATTGAACCACTCTGTTTCCCCCTCTTATTCTTCTTCGTTTTCCCGTTCTCGACTGTTATATTTCCCACCTGTCCTATGATTCCTCCCAATCGATTGTTTGAACCCTAAACTGGCCGAATATCGCAAGTAATCTCGGCGTCAAGCTGTGCAAGCATAAGCACCCCCATCCCTTAGAATGAAAACTAATTGTTGCTTGTATGAGTAATTCACTTGTGCAAACAGCTGGGCAGGCGGAGATGATTGCACTGGAGAAGGCAATGAAAGAGGCCATGGTTCCTTCAGGATCTGCTAGGGAGGTGAGAAAGGAATTTTGAATTGAAATTGCCAAAATTGATTTTCGAACTACAATGCTGTGATTTTGGATGGATCTCTGATATGGATGAGGTGTATTGTAGACTGATTTGGGAAGAGAGGTCTCGTTGTTTGAAGCGGAGGCTACAGCTGTGGAGTCTGTATTTCAAAAATTCTATTCCTACATTTTTTTACACTGAAACCGTGGGGTTCGAACTAAACAGAGACCCCGACAGGCCCAGTCCTGCTTCTATCTTCGTGGTTAACTTTGACAAGGTAAGGCTTTTGACGAATTGTGGTGACGGTTTTATGCATTGATGATAAACCGAGTTAATGTGTATCGGAATTAGGTGCTTAAGATGTCCCTTTCCAGGATCATGTGTGTTTTTGGTCCATTCTTTCAGTAGTCTTTGACATGATCTGTTGAGGAGCTTGTTTGGTGGTTTTCTTTTTCCAGGTCAGAATGGATCCGAGGAACAAGGAAGTCGATCTTGATAGTTTCATGTTTAGCACAGTTGATAAGTTGTTTGAAGAAGATATGAAGAAATAAGAGGGTGATTACATTTATAGGGGGAGCAACTCAAGTTTGGTTGAGCTCAGACAAATATTATTTGAATGGACGATATGTGACCTCTTTCATTTTAGTCACCACGAGAAATGACTATAAGTTCCTAATTCAATTTTAGCCACATTCTTCACTAGTGATGCTTTTAATCATGTTTCGAGTTCTTCCATCTTTATTGAAAAATGGTTTAAGGGTCCACTTGATTGGGCTGGTTGTTGGACGATCCTCCAGCAAATTTCGATGGGTTACTTCGTGAAGACGTGATGGGAATAAGTTTCCCGAGGCAAGTAATCTGGCCAGTTTATCTCTATTAGTTTTTATGCGAATCTCAGAGGTGGCTGTTTCTGTTGCTGCTATTTTGGCTATCTGTATGCAATGTGAGATTACTGTAGCGGTTCCATTTCTGTTTGGCAAACTAGCCTCTGGCTGTGTACTTGTATTTATTCGGCTGATTTCCTAGCCTCCCTCTAATAAATAAAAAAGCACACCAAAACTTGCAATCTATCCGCCAAATAATAAACGTGTCCTTAAATCGTCACCATAAAGAGGGCATTCGTTGGAAAGGAAGAAACAAAACTAAATGCTAAAATGTTTTAGCAGAACACACTATGCGACTAGATATCCTTGAGCCCTGAATTCGCCTCTTCTGGGAAGCTGCTTTCATGAATTAGCCTCTTTTGGGAACCTGCTTTCCTCTCTTGGGAAGCTATTTTGTACTCAAGTGTCTGAGCTTCAAACCTAGGCGCATTCTGATTTGCTTTCTTGAGCACCTTGTGTCTTATGTAATTGGTAGGCTCTTTGACTAGGTACAATGCCACCTGCATTCTTCTCAAATGATTGCATGGGTGTAAGGACAGAAAATATAACGTATTAATACAATAGTTGACATAGTTTTTTTAATGTGCTCGTAGAAATAAATGGGCCTAGGTAGTAGGTGATTTCTTACCCAAATATAATAGTCATCATCCCATGTTGATCCCATCATCCACACACAAACCCAGATCCCACTATCATTCCTGTTTAGAAAGATGCATTACGTAAGACACAAATATTTTATTTTTCTAGTGAAATTATGACCAAATATACATTCTTACTTGTGTCGTTGTGTAGGAACTTCAGGAGTGGTCAAAGAAAACTCCTTAATCTGTGGTGGTGCACATGTTGATTGAACTTCCTTGTGTAAGGCATCGAACAAGTCGTTCAGAAATTCAATCTACAACGTTCAAAAAGTAACCTATGAATTACCAAATTTTGTTGGAAAATATAATGCCACATAATTGAATTACAAACACGTGTATTGAAGTATGAATTCAATGGCACAAATTTTAACTATACCATTGTGTGAACTGCATTCGTACGGATTGTTTGGCGCTCTTTTGATGGGCATGAATCCAGAATGTGTACTTGTTTCTGGTCCATCAAAATTATAGCTAAATACCAGTGGATGCCTTCATCATTCATCATATCTTTCATGGGAAGACAAACCTTCACAGGTATGAGAAAACAATCCAATTAACTAATTAGTTTTCTGACATAATTCATTCAAGAAATTAAGCAGAAGGGCAGGCATAATTCACGCGCACATATGTTGTGAAAACCGCTACTAAATAAGCAGAAATGAGAAGGAAGAATTGTGGAGAAGTCATAACCTTTCTACAGTTATGAGCTTTTGATAGGAATTTTGTATTATATAACTCTAATGCCTTTGCAGATGTCAAGCCATAATTAACGACCATATCCTGGTAGGAAAATGAAGTTAAATCATTGAACACTAATCTTACTTAATAAACAACCAACCCTGTGTAAACTGAATTAGAATTACAAAGCAAAAGCAACACTTACCTGCAATTCCGTAGGCAAAAAGCACACTCCTCTTCCACGACCAGTATCTCTTTTAACTTCGTCCAAGGTCAAGTGGCATGCTAACGCTGTAATTACCTAAAACACAATAGAAATAAAATCCAATGATTAAAAATCGTTAAGCACGTTCAGGTCAACTAGGGGCGTTTCGCAGAAGTACTTACATCAGCATCAACGCTTGACTCGGGGCATAAGCTCCATAATGTCTGCCTGGTATATGATTTCATCATTGTTTTGACCAAAGCTTCATCAGGAGGAAGGTCTTCTGCAAATATATAGTGAGCAAAACTCACTTCTTCGTCACTGTAGTCGACGGCTGTAGGGAGCTCAAACCTTGTGGTACCCTTCAATCATGGAGAACGAACAAATAGAGGAAATAAGAAGAGGTTTTCTTGAGTTTTAGGTTTTACATTTTAAATGAAAATATATAATTAATTAAAGAAGAAATAGAAGTCAAGTGGCGGAGAAAGGAACGAAGGAAAACAACGAAAATAGTGGGCGAAAAGGAAGCATATGTACATCACTAGGATTACATACCTTCATTGACAATTTTTGTGGAGGCGTGAGGGGTTTGTTTTGCACACCTAGCTCATAATGGTCCAGCCCTGGTTCATCATCAAGAACAATCACCTTCGAGTCGGGTGTAGGTGGGGGGATGACGTCTTGCATTCTTGTTTTCTTGGCAGGAGATACATAGTTCTCCAATTCCTACAATAATGAACAATCAAGTCAGAATAAGTTTTGTATAAATAACCTACTGTTAAAGCTCCTGGACGAACCATAGACTTGGCTAGAGAACGCATTAGGCGTACAGTAGACTGGGCGCTCGTCATCTTGTTCTTCTCCCTAATATAATTGTACAAAAAAGCAACGAGAGAGTGGAATATAAGAACAAATACAACGAAATAGCTTACTAAAAAGTTAAAGAAAACACATTAGCGGATTGCAGAACTTACCCTTCCTTCCCCATAATGTTACAGACACAATGTTGACCAAAGGGCCTCTGTGCTACTTTTAGTTGAATGAGTTTTGGGCAAGATGTTTGGCCATATTAATAGATGCGCCAGAGGGGTGTTTAACCTCGTGTATTAGGAAAACCCATGAGATATCAATTAGTTTTTTTATATGTGGGAACTTCTATATTTATCCACCTCATTAAATGAACTTAATAAGGAATTAACTAGTTACGTGTGAACTTCTATATTTATCCACCTCATTAAACCGATTAGGGGCTTCATTTTAGGGTTTTAAGGTTCGAAAAGACAAGACCACGAAAGCAGATGGAAGAAGGGAAGAAGAAGATGCCAGTTTAACCTCCCTTGGTTGGGTGTGGCTCCGCCAGTTTATGAATTCACGTTTGGCCCATTTTCAACCAATCAATTAAGAGTGATCTAGGCTTCCCGCGGCAGAGCACCAAAGCTCTGTTTCTTTCTTCGTTCCAAAACCGGAAAACAGAGTAAGCAGTGAAACCCAGAAATATAAACACAAGAACGGAGTATGAATAAGAACACAAGGCAGTAGCGGAAATGTAAATGAACACAGGAAATATAAAAATGAAAAACGAAGACAAAGACTCTAACTCAAGAACAAAGAAGAAATCCCGGATCCACATCCTGAACCTCCTGTACAAATAATAACTTCTTACAATGTAATGAGAAAAACATCCAAATGGCCAAAGAGTTTCCCATCTATACATGGCAAACTCACAAACATGATTGAATGTTGGGAAACTCTTTAGCCACTTGGAGTTCTCCTCATTACCGTAACTTGATGCAAATAAGGTTGGAGGAAGAACTTTAAGGAATTTCAAGTTTCATTTGCTGCTTCCACGATTTTGAAGGAAGAGGGGACTGCGGTTTATATAGGCTGTAAGGGGATAAAATCTTATCAACATACAATCTCCTACAACCAATGACAAAGGGCAGAGTAAATGGTGATAGGATTTTCATATATGAATGATGCTTTTGGTGACAGGTGTGCTTCTTTGGAGGGGCCACCTGGTGCAATTGATGCTTTTGGAGTAGGTGTCCTCCATTTGAGGGACGACAGGCTTGGGTATGCGAACCAAGGAGGTTATTTAGGCCCACTAGTTTTATTTAAATAGGCCAAACGAATTCAGTCCAGCCCATGGATGTTTTGACCCAAATTGTTCTGTTAAAAACAAGGATTTAATTTCACAGCTTATATACAACATCCTTTAGGTTTTTCATAGTGAAGCGCCAGCGGAGAGGCTAGTTCCTTAGTACTACTTTGGCTACTTAGGGTTAGTTGGCTTGGACAATCACAAGCGCGACGATCATGGAAGACGATGAAATCGTGGAAGTGGAAAACAATGAAGATATTAACAACAGTAACGGTTCAACTATTCACAACGTTCACCAAAGTTCAGAGGTAGAAGATGATGATCTTGCCGATCTCTTACTTCTACAGCAAGAAGATATCGAGAAGCTAAGATTCGCTAACACTGAAGAAGCCTATGATTTTTGGAGGAACTATGGGCTGGTCACCGGCTTTGACGTCAGGAAAGAAGATATTGGCCGAGATAAAGACAAGGTCATGATATGGCGTCGGTTTGTATGTTCTGGTCAAGGAACAAAGCGCGACCGAAAGGGTGAACGAAAGAGGGAACCAAAAGAAGAGACGAGATTTGACTGCAAAGCTAGGATTCGTGTACGACTAGACAAGTCAGATGGGAAGTGGTTTGTGGATACCTTTCATAACGTGCACTCTCACGTAACGGTTCCAAAAAAATACCGACACTACATGAAAGGGAATCGACAGTTGAGTGATGCAGTTAAAGCAGCAATCAATTTCCGGAGAGCTGCAGGAATGAAAACATCACAGATTGTTTCACTAGCGGTTGCAGAGGCAGGAGGCTATAGCAAGATGGGGTTCACGAGGAAAGATGCGTATAATTATGTGGACAAAGATCGAAGGAACAGATTAGTGATGGTGATGCTGCGATAGCACTAGCTTACCTACAGGCGAAACTAAGTGCGGATGAACAGTTCGTAATTGAACTAAAAAAAGACAATGAAGACAGGCTTGTTAACTTGTTCTGGGCAGATAGTATTTCAGTGGCTGATTATGCATGCTTTGGAGAATTATTGGTTTTCGATGCGACTTACAAAAAGAACGTCTACAATATGCCTCTAGTAATTTTTTCAGGTACTAATTCTTTTATTTTCGGTTCATAGTAACTTATATTTTCATTCCTATAAAGTATAAAGAATTTATTCATTGAAACTTAATACCACACGTTAAAGAGCCTAATGCAATATCACTTCCATACGTTATGGGTACAGTGTAATTCTTGTCTTATTAGTGAAGTAATTTTAATAACCTGTTTATTTTTTAGGTGTGAACCACCACTTCAACAGTTGCATATTTGGATGTTCATTTTTGGCAAATGAGAAAGAAGAAAACTATGTATGGGTTCTAGATGCCTTGAGGAGAAGGTTGGGCGCTGTAGATCCTAAAACTGTTGTTACAGATGGAGATAAAGCCATGCGCAATGCAATTCAGCAAGTATTCCCCGATGCGACACATCGTTTATGTGCTTGGCACATATACAAAACTATTGCCAGAAAAGTGAGGGACAATCCTAACTTCTTGCCACAATGGAAACATTTCGTGTCAGCTGATTGTGAACCTTCAGTATTTGAAGATAAGTGAAAAACAATGGTCGAGGAGTGCTCACAGCAGCATAACAATTGGGTTTCACATCTATTTGACCAAAGAACTGAATGGGGGTATACATACTTGCGCTCAAAGTTCTTTGCAGGCTTGTCAACAACGTCTAGATGTGAAGGAATGAACTCTCAGCTTACCAAGTATATCGAAAACAATCATAATCTACTTGAGTTCTTTATTCATTTTGATCGTTGGACTAGGGATATGAGGGAGATGGAGCAACAAGCTGATTTTGAGTCCATCCATCGTGAACGGACAATAACGTCTAATATATTAGTCTCACTTCAGAAGAGTGCGTCTAAATTATTCACAAAAGAAGCCTTTTTCAAATTCAGAGATGAGGTTGAAAAGTCGGGAGCTTGTGTAAGGATGGATTCAGAGATATCGGAAAACCAACGCATTTACAGAGTGACAATGACAGGTAAACAAAAGGTTTTTCAGGTCACATACACAATTGAGCCCTTCGCTATGGAGTGTAGTTGTAACTATTACCACTATATGGGAATACCATGCGCTCATATGGTTCATCTACTGAAAGAAGAGGGTATGCTGGAACTTCCAGAACGGTTGGTAAAGTTAAGGTGGTCAAAGAAGCCGAAGACACTTGATAGCTTACAACAACCACACAATATGGACGAGGCTAGACTATTCACATTCAGGTTCGTAGTTACTGTATAAAGCTGGAAATTGTGTGTTACTGTGTTTAAGAAAGCAGTTCAGATGTGTTTATTAAATACTAAGGTGGTACCAGAGGGCATTGACCCGTTTTAGAACATAAGCTTTCACTTTTTCGTGACGTTTTAATAGAATAATATTGACTGTGGTTTTCAGATATGGGCTTCTTCAACAAAGCAGCTCCCAGTTATGGTTAAAAGGGGCAAAATCAAGCGAAAGCTTCAACCTTGCTCGTACAGGAATTGCATCCCTATGTGAATCGCTAGACATGATGAACAAAGGTGATACTGAGATCCCAGATATCAATAGACCAAAGGTTCGCGTGGACAAGAAAACAAAAGGAAGAAAGGGGAGCAACGAATGTGTAGCAGATGTGGCGTATTGGGTCATAAAAAAAGCACTTGTAAGAAGCCTCCTGATTATGTGAGGCCTACAATACCAGAACCTACTGATACTGAAACTAATGATGGAGCTGCTGGCCACACAGTACCAAATAATGAAGAACCAAATAGTGAAAACGTCACCAACAACGGAGCTGACCAGCAAGCACCACAAATTGGCAGAAAACCAAAACATTGCAGTAAATGTGGGAAGGATACTCATAATGCCAGAAATTTTCCAGAGTTATCAGAGGAGGATACTGAAGAGGATGTTGATACAACCGACATCCCTGATCCACCAACTGTAATATTAGAAGTTCATTGTGCATGTCTAGAATACTTTGGGAAACAATTATTTTCGTTGGAACTAAACTTTGTATATTCAATGTTGCAGAAGAAGCCATGTACTAGAAGGGAAGGCCTGAGGAGCAGCAAGAAGGCTAGTTGAAAAGATTGGCATGGATTATAATAACCGGAGACACATTTCGAATCTGGCCATTTGTTTGATACTCTATGGACGAGTTAGGATATTTGATTGGAGGACGTTATGATGTTTTGTTGGGTATTTTCATACTTTCTGGTCCTGGTTGTTCATGTTTTAGGTTCATTAAACTTCTTTTCTAATCAACAATGTATGCCTCTACTTTTGCTGGTCCATATTATTTTTGTGTTCAGTTCATTATTCTTGTTTTCATTAAGACCTAGCAAACCAAGAAAGGGTATACTTGAAACTTACCGGTGTGCATAAGCGGAGTGGCCCATCTATCCTCTTCTTGGAAAACCACTGCACGCCCATCTAGCCAAAGAAGGAAACATAAGGAGTTCCAAATCCAAAAATTCCAATTTAGACATTATGATTTGAACCAACTATAAACTACAAACTGAACATTATGAAGTATAAGAGGAACAAGATACCTTTCTAGCTAGCTTAACAAGTGCAACCACAACATCATAAACATCAGTCTCATTTAACAACTCCTTTTCAACATGTTATTTAGCTCCACATACCTGCACAACAGGTCTATAGTCAGTAACCAATATTCAGATACAATGTCTTCAACCACATGTGCACACACGCAAAACAC